TAAGTCAATAATTATTTAAACTATTCAATAAACATGACGCATAAGTAAATAGTTTACCTCGGCATAATATAAATCATCTGTTATCTCAAGTGAAATCAACTCAACACTAGTATAAATAGGTAGACCATCATGCAAGTATATAGCATATCCCCTATCCAAAATACAATCGTATGGGATCCATTCCAAGTAGGCGTCATTTGGTGAGTTTGTTTGTAGTTGAGATTTCTTAATAAAGTCATCGAGTTGGTGATCGTTGCTAGTCCACCCATCGGATAATTGTTTATAACCACAAATGCACCACATCGGAGTATTCCACATGTGGAGCAGAAGCCATATCGAGAATAACAGTGGTAAAAGAGTTTATCAGCAACCATGTAATAGTTATCGTCATTAGACTTGGTAAACCCCTTTATGAGTTTGTTGCGACGAGTAAGCCATACAGAGTATCATTTAAAGTTATTGTTCTTGTTATTATACTTGTGTGTTGGAAGTGAGTATATTCTAGCAAACTCACTCACAAGTGCTGGCGTGCATTCTTCACTACTTCCAAGTAGTACTAGGAATTTTAAGTGCACAATGAAATGATCTCAAGGCTTGTTACATTGCACATCTTTCTTGGCACCACCAACGACGTTTCTTACAGTATATACTATATTACGTTCACTTTACAATTACGTGCTTTTATAGTATGATACTTTTTTACTTGCAGTACCGCCACAAAAATATGACAACGTGGGACGGTTGAAAATTTTTGATCGTTGTGACTTTATTTTAAAATAGGTTTGCTGAACTGTTATACAAAATTTTAGCCGACCCTTCCAATTACTGTGTTCGAATGAAAAAATAAATAAATGCAATTTTGCTCTAAAGTGACTATCGTAAAGAAGTGGCTTAATTTAATAAACGTAGTGATACGGAAGCTGGTTTTACTATAATGCTTTTGTTACGAAAGATTATGTTCAAAAATAAAGTAAACACGTGTGTGTATTTTCGCTAAGAATGAGAGTTAATGATGTTATTACTATTTGTATCAAAACGGAGCGAGTTTTCTGTCGGCGTAACATAGTAGTTCCGGGTATGTATTTTTGTTCGAATACCTAATAACTTTTTTAATCAACATAAGGTTAGGTTCTGACGCTGTTAGCAAATGAGTGATTTTTATTATTTTTGTTTTTGTACAATTATTATATAATGGCTGCATAACTTGTGAATAAACGTTTGCCGTTCGAAAGAGGTTTATTCATTTAGTGCATTGGTGAAGTAACTTTATCGCTTACATGGCATTATCATCGTCACTGAGTATGGATAACATTCTACCTGGGTAATAACTCATATTGCATAGCTTATTAGAGTGTTCGACAAGTAACTCCCTTATTCATGAGTGTTCAAAATTGGTTTGCTGGCAAATTCACTGAATTGAGTTTGACTCTGTTGGTAATTGTAATATTAACTATTAATTATAGTAAATCCATCATTGACTATGATAATGTCCTTCCGTTGTAATGAAATTATTACTCAAAGAGCATTTTAATACTGCTAAACAAAGTGATCGGGTTAAGCTTTCCTCACTCCTTAGAAAGAATAGTTCGGTCGGAAAATTTGTCCAGACTGCGATTATCATTGTATTACGAATACGATTAATGACTGAGTCGCAGAGCCCAATAATAGAGGAATACCGGGAAGAATTTTCAGTTGTGGAATTTACAGACTTGCCTTTTAAGGTCATTTTACTCTGTTACTTTCAGTTTGTCCATTCAAATAAATGTTTTGTCTAGATTTTGCGATTCTCATAAACTAAATTTACACCGAGCTAATATCTCAATGACAAATAATTGGCATGTAAATTAATTACACAGATTTGTTGTTTACTGTTACAGGTACGGAAATTGAAAACGCTGTACTGATCGATTAATGATCGTATGGCAACTGGGTTAATTATCGGCGATAAAGAATCTGCAGACAAGAACAGGCTCTATATTATGGCGGCAGGTATGACAAAAGTAATTGGTTACGTGTTGATAAAGTCAACTACAGTATTATCGTTGCCTATTCTAATAATCTAATGACTCATAAAACGGTCAGAGTGTTTACCAATATTTATATTTAAACAAGTAATTGACGAAGAAATATACATATATGCTATAGATGGTGCTACATGTTACAACTTAAATACATATTTTAAAAACGTTGTTCAAATACGTCCCACTAGTAATTATATATAGTCGAAAACTTGTCGCTGCAAAGCATCATTCACAAGTCAAACACCAGTTTCCCAAACATTATCTATTACCATCGTACCATAAAAAATACCGATAAGTGTGTAACACAAGTTTTTTGACTTTTCTCGCGTACTTCAAATGTAGCAATGCGCGTTATATTTTAATTATGTAAACAATATATCTTAAACTGTAAACAAATAAAGTATTAAATAATGGTGTGTTTGGCATTTGTTGAGAAACTGCTTAAAATGACGTCCTTTAATAAAGAAACTCAAAGAAAAACAATATTATACTTGTGGCTGAATGGAATTATTTTGCAAAAAAAATACATTCTAGGACTGGCATCATAATGTCAACTATCTATCATAATTAAAAAAAGTTGAATAAAAAGGGACAAATCAAGAAAGCTAATAAGTGGTCGTCCCAAAGAAGCTATCGTACGCAAATCAAGAGATAGAATTTCAAACAGCATTCTAATCAACTGTATCAGATCAATGAGAAGAAGATGTGAGCTAATAATAGAAAACAATGATAAAAAAAATATTATTAATTTTATATTATTAGCTTTAAGCACTTTATTTTGATATATCTTTATTAAGTTTATGCAGTAGTTTTGAGTAACGAATAAATGACGAAAACTCTTGTTACACATTGTATTGTAAGTAATTTTTTTTGCTTTATTTTTAAGGTTCGTTTACAACTTGATTGATAGCTCATCGTGTTACTGATGTCTAAATATCAATTCTTTCATATTTAGATTTTTCGTTAAAGAGAGCAATTAAGATCTTTTGGTAAACTCACCGACTTAAAAGTACTAACAGGGATAATAGCATAATAGAGGAATTTTATTTAGGTTTGCTAATCGTAAAAGTGAGCGATTACTTTAAACAATAAACAATAATACCGATGTTAAAGTAAAATTTTTACTAAGAACCAAACTTAAATCTTAATTAAGTGCGTACAGAGTATGGCGATTTAGTAACATCTTTCCCGATTTAGAATTTTGTTTCTTTCTCAGCTTTATTCAATTAGTATCACTTTGAAACGCGGAAAGTGTCACAGTTGACTATTATCTTTTTTACTTTATTAGTATTTTGAATTTTATAGTTATCATACGACGGTACAAAATGATCTTCTGACCCATCTGTGTGATGGCAAAAAAAATTCAGTCCCATTTTCAGCAGACCCGTACAACATTAGTGCTTTTCTATTGTTCGATAATCGAATCGTTTTGTAAAATTTTCTAGATGTAGTGATAACCAAGATGCACGACAGCTGAAACGCATGCAAATAATGTGTAATGAACGTGTTAGTATTTAAAGTTCCAGTCAATAACATTCTAATCGACTTCATCAGACTGATCTGAGCAAAAAATCTTGCCAATGGAGATCGCCCACAAACAGTTTCTTCAAGCAAATCTGCCCACAGCATCATTCCTCTTTCCTGGTTCAAAGTCATATGAGAAGGCCATCTTTATTGGAAACCTACTCTACCGCTTCAAGACCCCTACTACAGTGATCCAAGCTGTAACCGAGGAAGATGTCGCAAAAACGCTCTCGTATGCAAAGAAAAATAACATCAAATTGACTGTTATAAGCGGAGGACATTCGTATGCTGGCTACTGTCTGAATGATGGTGGCATCGTTCTGGACATAAGCTCTATGAACAAGGTATCAATTGACCGTACGAACATGACCGCAAGTATCCAAGGTGGGGCAGTCTGGCAAGATGCGTACAACTCTTTATTGGAAGAAGAGAATCGGAATCTCATGATAATCGGTGGCCAATGTCCAACGGTTGGAGTGAGTGCATTTTTGCTGGGTGCCGGTCTCAGCCCTTTCTCTCGCTCCTATGGACTGGGCATTGACAATGTTCTGGAGATGACTATCATCACTGTAAATAAGGACGGGGAGGCAGAAAAAGTTACTGTCACTCATGAGGATGTTGACCCTGACAAATGCGACCTATTCTGGGCAATTCGTGGCGGAGGCGGTGGTAATTTCGGTGTCACAACTCACATCAAAGTAAAGTTGCATGAACTCAGAGACCGTGGAGGCCATGTTGTGTGCGGAGATCTCACTTGGAATCTCTCAGACCCAGAGCAAGAGAAGTCTTTCAAGGAAATGATGCAAGTCTGGAATGAGACTACTTGGCCAAAAGAGGTATGCGCTGACGCTGTCTGGCGGTACAATAGCAGCAACCAGCTACTAGGGCAGATGACAATAATTTACAATGGCAAGATGGGCCAATGCCTTAAGGACCTTGCACCATTATTTAACTTTGATCCCGACAACAGCCTCAAGGTCATGCATTGGACTGATTGGCAAGTTATCGATGCTACGTTTGATGTTTTCTCAAAGGTATACCATCACCACGGATCATTCATTTTTGCTGAAGGTGGAATCACATCTACTGTGGTCGATATAATTATGCAGTTGATGAAGGAAGCAAAAGAACTCGAGAAAAAAAATTCTGTGAGTGGCTGCCATATCCTATGGGACCATATTGGATGCGCTACGACAGAGATCAAGTCTGAAGACACGGCCTTTCCCTGGCGTGATGGTGTCTATGTTGCCACTATAAAAGCAAGTTGGGTCGATCCCAGCATGCATGAAACCATGTTTAAGTTTGTGAGTCGGGCCAAAAAGCTGCTGTATCCATACTCCATTCAGGGGAAAGCGGCGTATATCAATTATATTGATAGCACAGTGAAGAACTGGCAAGAGGCATATTATGCGGACAACTATTCCCGGCTCCAGAAAGTCAAGAGTCGCTGGGACCCGACTAATTTCTTTCGGTTTAAGCAGAGCATTGAGCCTATTGGTCATGAGAGGACCCACTATGATGATAGCCCACCCTGGGAAAAGTATGCCCTGCCGACACCGCAGCTGCTCGGCAATCCCAAAACAAGGGACCAGGTTTATACGACAGGTGCTCGTATTCGTCAGTCTATATTCATGGCTAATAAACAAAATTAGTTTTTAACTAGAGTGAAAAATAATCGTCCTCTTCGATCGCAAAATATTGTAATAACTATATACACAATGCGGAAATAATTTTTGTATTGTAACAATCAGTATATAAATTTTACACAAGACGCCACGTTTGAAAGTTTTATCTTAGAGTAGTAAGTTGAAGTTGACGTAATATTTAAGCACATGTGAAAATGTATAAGAAAGTTATTAATTGCTGGTCACGTATATTTTTGGTGGTCTTTATTCAAATAGATGTTCTTATTTATAGTGGATGTGCGTTATTTGGTTTAACTTTCAATGAATGTCTATTAAGGTAATGTCATATCAAGATAGATAGAGTATCGGTGTTGTTATTATTTTTAGATTTAGATAGATGTCCTTACCACTCAGTGCCTATGTACGTGTATCGTTTGGGTTTAGTCTCTCACGATTTGCCGAAACCGTTCAGCGAATTACTGCATTGTTTAAGCGTATAAACGACTGTCTATTAGAGCACCTGCGTTAATGCTCAGTAATCCCGTTTTTTATTTCCGCAATGTACATTCCTGACAAACGTTTGACGTCTGTAGCCTGATATCTGAAAATCGTATTACGTAAATCAATAACATGGAATTCCGCATATTATAGAGTTTTGTGGGAAGAATTTTGACATCATAGTGCGCGCGTTTTGACATCTATACACTGCAGTAAATTGGTGAAATAAATTTTATCCCAACGATATGACAAATTTTACTTATTACACATCTATTTGAGTAAATCAATTCATAAACTCTTATAACGTTGTCTTGAAAAGGTTTGAATACGGGCGTTTGTACGGAGTCAATTTGATAATGTAGGAGAACGGATAGTTTGGTTGGTTTAGCAACAGTAATGCTAGAATTTTATTGATGGTTCTTATGTTGATAATTAAAAAGATTAAACGTTTGCTATCATCCGTTGTGAAATCTATGATTTCAAACATCTGATATGAGTAATTTGACAGTCTGTAATTTATGTAAATAGGCTTAACAGGCAGAAAAATTTTATTTATATACAGTGATACATATCTTGTAAGTATATTGTGGGCTACTATTATATATGAATACGTGTGTTATATGTCAATTTGGAATTTGTGTCAGATTGAAATGTATGTCCATACATACACTACCCTCGGAAAAGTATTTAATCAAGCAATTTTTAAAATTTTCAAAGTCGAACATATTAATTAGGCAAAAAAATAATCTTGGTTTTGACGATTATGAACAGAAAACGTAAATATCACAACGGTCTTACATGTTCCAAGATAATAATGCTCCAGTTTATACGGCAAGAAATGTTGAAAATTGATTGCTTAAAAGTGGATTAAGGTGTTTACCAATTGGTTTTCTCACTCTCCAGAACTTAACCAATCGAACATCTATGGAAATAAAGGCGTATAATACGCTATGTACAGCCAACAAATTTTCATAAACTTGAAAAGCATTACAAAAGAATGAAGAAATTTTTTACTTCAAACTTATACTAAACTTATTGAAAAAATGCCACATAGTAATAGGATTAAAGCATGTATTAAATGTTATGTTTGTGTTAAAAATTTAAATAAATAAGTTATTGTTGACTTATAGAGTGTATGTCAGATTGGAATGTCGAAACAGTATTTGTCCGAGCTGTTCTACTATCATACTAAGCCAGTTTGTTGTGTGGACACTAGTGACAGTATAAGTAAATATCTGTCTACTACTACTTGCGCGTCTGTCTGTTATAAGCCAAATATTCTAATCATGTTACAGTATAATATAGGAATATTGTAACTGATTACTTGTGTGCATAAACTATAAAGCATGTAAATTATTTATTAACAGATGCCGAGCTTTTAAACGCCTAAATGAGCCCAAAGCCTCCTATTGAATATGTTTTTGTGATACATATAATACTGCAGTTGATTAATCCGGCCACTCCCCGCCGCCCTCTAAACTTTTATTTAGTGTATAACATGACAGCAAATCATGTTGCCATTGTCCAACTGTGGAATAAAATCGGTAAAAAAATATATCAATTATTAGTATTACAAAAACTTTTATTAAAATATGCATTAATATAATAACTATGTCAACCACAATTTATACCGTCTTAGACAGAATTATTATTATAGAAAGTTGCCTATTGTTATTATAGTATAAGAGTTCCGATGACCATTTGTATAGGCAGGGCGGAGGAGTTATAGGAGATCTGTCAATTAAATTGAAATAAGCATTAGCAATCATATTGTTTTGCCCCTTCCCTTTATTGTAATCACAGTAGGGACCCTATCACATCTACCATTACTAAGGCAACAAGGCTTGTCAAAACATACCGGCTTATTTACGTGTTACTTGTAATTAAGTTTGATATCTATAGAATTATCTGTATCAGTTCTGTCAGTTTTTTGATTTTTGTGTTCTTCTACTTGTCTTCTCAACTTTATCTGTAATTAAAGGAATCACTGTTGAAAATTTTATCCAACCACTTCAAAAATTAATAACAGCATCACAAAAAAAAGTCTGACAATTAGCTGCATGGCGTACTACCAAAAACTCTTACGTATTATAAGGGGCATAACTCATCGTCGTGAATTGAAACTTTCGAAGTCTACTTCCGTGGGGATATTCTGGTGGCTATTGACTAGTATTATAATGCGGAATCGCTACAATATAAAGAGTTCCATTAACGATTAAAAAAACCAGAGTCTTTTATGGCATATTAGTATACGTATTAGTATAAAAAATAACTTAATGTATACCCATAGTCACATGCCCGCACTTTTTTTTTGCCATGTCGGAATACTGTAATGGGAAATGCACATATTTGGTAGAGATAAGCACAAGTTTGCGCCACTGGCGGGTCGTCTAATGAGAGTCAGGGCTGGTGAAAATAGTTCATGTGACTGCCGATGAACGTGCGTCATTACAGCATTACCCCATACATCCCACATTGCTCCGTCTTCTCCGTTCCTGGACATAATAATAACCCCACTCCAGGCATCATACAAATATTTCTAACCTTCTAGACTTACACACAAATCCAGGCACTTCCTGGATCTCCATACAGAAAATATACTTCTTTACTAAAATCGCAATAGTAGATACACCCCCTCACAACAGTCCGCCTTCTTATGAGCTTTTATTCTCTTAATTTACAATGTAAAAGATAGCTTAAACTGGGCTTTAGCGAGCGAGCACCTCCTCGCGATTGTTACTAATTTGATACCGAATATGTGTGACTCTTTATTCATCAAGGGCGGGGTAAGTTTGTAACAGACGTAATAATGTCATATGCAAGTGACCATTGTTATACAGTATGAGCAGGGATTGTATTGTTAGATAAACTCGTTATTTATTTCCCATTCAATCTATCACTATTAATCATCGTATTTAAACAATCTATGTCTTTCTTCGTTTCTAACTCTTTTATCTCCAACTCTTTTGTCTCCAACTCTTCCGTCTCTAAGCTATTTATTTCTATCCCTCCGAACATGTCTTTTAAAGCAGCAGGCAAACATTTCATATTGACAAGAAAAGAAATAAGCGGCGTTTGTGAGTGTGAATATGAGTGCTGTACTGTGTCTTTTCTTGTATTGCCGAATATAACAAGCAATATTACATTTCAGGCACCGAGGCGGAAGTTACTGGCGTCGTGGGAAAGGTTCTTGAATTGGGGCTAGTGAGCTCGTTTGCCGTCGCTGCGTTGAAAGTCAAAAATAGAGTTAATAAGATGGAGGGGCTTGGGAAGTCGGTTGATGAATTGAAGGAACTTATAAAGGAGCAGCGAAGGTAATAATTCAACGCATAATGATGATATTCTGTATGTCGTATACATACTTTCATTATACTAAATAATTGTACCCGAATACTTTACCAGGCGAACGGATGGGGAGGGTGATATTAAGACAAAATTAACCAAAAAACACTGCCAGTGAAATTGAAACTGAAAAATCGCTTAATTAAATTAATTGACGATGAAAAGACCCAAGAAAAAAAAGCAACTATTTGCCGCTGTTAATGAGAAGATTGATGGTGTCGAGCGAAGACTTGATGAGAGGATTGATGGTGTCGTCAAAACAAGGCTGGATAATGTCGAAAAAAGCTGGATAGGGTAGAAACAAAATTTGAGCAAAGATTCGACAAGGTAGACGCAAAAATCGATAAATTAGGAGATTTCGTAATCGCACAAGCCTTAAGGTAGCAATGTATTTATTTTCAATGAAACGAGAAAAAAATTTTGAATGGACATTTAGAGATGAATCGAGTACAAGCTAATTCTATATATGTTTATTCAAGGCGCTATCCAGTTCTCAATTTTCCTTAATTCTAGGCTCTTATAACAAAGTAGTCTCAGATTTCGCTTTCCCTTTTGTATACATATATACGTGGTATGCTTGAAAAGTAATGGCAATTGACACATATCTTAATGATCTGTAAACCTATCCAAATAAAGTTTTTACTTTCTGATTTCGTGTCCTTTATTAGGCGCAAATTTACTTTCTGAATGTACTACATCTGACAAACATTGCACAAAAAACTTGATGTAAATCACTTTGCTTTGGTAATTCTTGAGAAATTCCCATTCAAAGTAGCCTACCAAAAACAAATGGAGCATTCTACTCACAAAAACCAACACTACTATATTTTGTTGAATGGAAAAATGGCAGCACTGCTGCTGAAATCCGTCAAAAGTTGGTGGTTGCAGAAGGTGACCAAGCACTATCTTTGAGAATAATTCATCGCTGGATTGAATCATTTGAACTTGGGAAACAAAGTGTTAAAGATGAGGCTCATTCAGGACGTCCTCGCAATGATGATGGATACGAAGAGGCCCTCTTCTCAGGTTCTCCTGAGGCCATGAGAGATTTTCTCTCTAGGCATGGATCCCCTTCCCCCTCACCCTCCAAAACCCGCACCCCTCCCACCCCAGCTTCGAAACGGAGCAACACCAAAAAGAGCAGGAACAAATAATGCTCTTACCCTACTGGCCTTTTCCCCGACCATGGGTTTTGCCAGTATAGTTCCCCATACTAATGATCATTTTATTTTGTAGGACAAACAGAGGTAATTGGTTTTGGGTAGTAGCACTCATTAGGAGTAGCTCTGTCTATAGATAGGTAGAATAGGTCTCTCCTCTTCTTTTTAGATGTAGCCTGTCGAAAGACACCCCCCTTCTCAGTCTTGTCACATGTATATATTAATATATGACTCGAAAAACAGCTTTAGCGGTCCACGTAGCTGTGCTGAATAAAGGGCCCACCAAATCAGGACGTCCTTGCAAGGCTGTCACTCCAGCAACAATTGGAAAGGTTGAAGACCTTATTAGTGAAGATCGTCATATATAACTACATGAAAACTTTCAGAAGAAGTTGGAATATCTGATGAAAGAATCATTTACATTCTTCATAATGAGCTTGGTCTGAGAAAACTCTGTAAAAAGTGGGTTCCACATGTGCTGACAAGTGAAAATAAGCAAAAGCGAGTTGAGTGTTCTAGACAACTTTTGCAAGTTCTGGGAGGTGGTTTCAAAAACATTATCACTGGGGATGAAACATGGATACATTCTACACAGTTGCAAATAAACAAGCCAATAAAGTTTGGCTTGGATTAGGATATGAGGAGAATAGGCCTCAAATTGTAAGAACTGCATAAAACAGCAAAAAATGCATGTTTTGTATTTTTTCTCTGTTGAAGGCATTGTAGCCAAAATTGTGGTTCCAAAAGGAACTACTGTTACTGGCAACCTTTATGCTAACAAGATTCTACCAGAAGTTTTTTCAAAGTTTAAGGAAATGTGTGAGAGAAGTACTGTTCAAGATGTCATGCTTCATCATGACAATGCATCACCACATACCTCAAAAGTTGTTACTAAGTACTTAAAGTAAGAAAAAGTCAATGTTCTTCCTCACCCACCATATAGTCCAGATCTAGCATCCTGTGATTTTTTCCCATTTCCTAAACTCAAAAAAGAGCTTAAAAATAAGAGGTATGATAAGGTTGAAAACCTTGCAAGGGGCATTCAGGCAGTCATTTCAAGTGTCCCAAAAGAGGAGTATTATAAATGTTTTGAGAGTTGGAAAAAAAGGCTGCAAAGATGTATAGACAATGATGGTAACTACTTTGAAGGAATGAAATAGTTTATTTGGTTTTTATAACATAGTTTTTAGAAATAAAGGCAAATTGTCATTATTTTTCAAGCATGCCACATACGGAATCATCTTTTGCTCATCTCTCAAAAACGGTTGCTCATGAATATAACTCTTCAAAGTTTTGTGCGCTCTCACCAGTTTATCAAGCCGATCGAATTTGGAAATTGCAAATACAAATTTGGTAATACATAGCAAAAAA